TTATTATTATACTTTCCAAACGTAATTTTTCAGACGGGTTGAAGAAGTTGAAGCATCGCTGGGTCAAGTGGTATCCAGCTAAATAAATAGAAATAAATTGCCAGTTTTCCAAAATCGTCATTTTATCTTTTGTAGGCTAAGCACTTATCGGACCGCCCTCGTACACACCAAATCGTATTGAAATCGTACACAGTATTATACGTTTCATTTCTTACGTCGCAATATTTTTATCTTGGACCCATCTTATATTAGCAGTTATATTAAGCAGAGCGGCACGGGTATCATGTAAAAAACCTATAAAACTTCAAAAAAAAACCTATAAGATGTCATCTTGCAAACTAGGTAGTTTTTAGGGCGCAAACAGTCATTCCACGTTCGCTCACTAGGATCGTTGTGATCGTCCATCTAAGGAGGAATCACTCAACTAAACTACACGCATTATTGGTTGCATATGTTTTGTGAGGCCAAATGGTCCATGTCTGTAGTTTTTATCACTGAGAAGAAAGTTGGTTGAATAGCAAGATCGCATCTAGATGATTATGTGTATTGTGTGAGAAAATCATTACTGAATATGCTGCCAATGAAGTATATCTATTGTCGGTACCCGACGGGTTATTTTTATGTTGTACTTCCTGAAGAGAGGTTATGTTCAAAGTTATAAATAACGAAAAACTGAGGACAGTTACGGGAAATCATCATCGCGCCCGCGTTGTGTGTAATTACTGTTAGCAAGTATATGGCTTGCAATTCGACAGTGTACAGTGAAAATAATTATTTCATATCTCTCATTTTTGAAATTCAGCAAATTTGTATATGTATTCCAGAATGGATAAGAAAAAGTGGATGCGCAACTAATTTCTAGCTTTGAATCTCAGTTAAGTGTATTTGAGACAAGAACCCAATGTAATTATCATCAACACATACAACTTACAGCTTAGACCTCCAGTAATGCCATCTCAGAAGCAGATTTTACATCACATCAGAGCCAAAGATTGATAACAAGTCTCTTGATTCATGTTAAGGGGTATCCAACAAACGTGCTTATTGAAAAATCGAATTGTAAGAATTTCAGCACGAATGCAAGATTTTCGTCCCTATATTACGTGAAATGAACATGGAAAGTAATTTAGACATCAGCAGCTCCCCAGATAAGACGACTGCCCACCCTAGAGACAGCCTAGCTCTAGAATATCGCACAAAAAGTTTCTTGGTCTTACAATGATAATTGAAATTTATTGCCAAACACATACATTTTGATTTTCAATCTGAATCTAAAACTTTGGAAACTTTTCATGATTTTTTTCTCGAGTGCACATAGGTATGCGCCATAAATTTACTAGGCTATATGTATTTTAATGGTTATTTCAAATTTATATAGATTGATGTGGAAAACGTTTATGTATTGAATTTTATGATGTGAAATTGTGCAATAATTGTATCATTTTATTCCCAATCGTACATAACAAAAGTGACATGTCGTTTATGTAAAAACGAGCATCAGTATACGAACGCATAGACTACTTGTATTTGTTCGATATAAATCTCAGCCGTTTACCGTGACTAACAGTAAGCTTTTGATAGAATAATTCTGCTGATTTGTCGATTCTCCAAAAGTATCAAAATACGCATCTGTTTTTAACGAATTCAACCGATATACCTTCGTTTGAAAATATTTTGCTAAAAATTTATTTGTTGGAGAAGAGTTAGGCAGATTTTAACGGAAATAATATGCTAAACGAATGCCATCGACTGGCACTGAACTTTTAATACAATGCCGAATGTTTTAATTCTATTAGTTAGTGGGATTTCCCCAATAACCGTATTGAAATTATTTCTGATTGTTATTATACAAAGATTTCCGTGTAAACTACTAATCTGTTTTCAATGAATTTAATGTAAATACCTAGCCTCGTAAATGATGATCAGTCGGTCATCAAGAAATGTGTTAAACTTTGCTCAAATAACGAATTGTGAATATATTTTAAAATACTTCCTTGACGTTACTATATTCGAGTACCGAAAAGGAAGATACCAGACGAACACATCGCACGCAACTGGCTAGCGCGGTATCCCCTTGGATAAGATGGGATACTCGGGCAATTCAAAGGGACGTCGCGCCTGAAGTAGTGAGCGATGTCCTTTGCTGTTATCTTCCTTTCCGGTATCAGCGTGTATACGAAGAAGTTCAACTAATTTCGCATCGTTTTTGATGGAGATATTTCGCCAGGCCAATTAGCCAATTTTAATCGCCAAACATTTCAAAAAGGAGATGTTATCCGTTAAACCTGTCGCGAACTGGCCGCTGCCGCTAGCGAGGATGCGATTCTGTAATGTAATAAATCTTAGTGAACACTAATCAAATCCAAGCGAATAACCAAAATTGCTGTGTTATGTGCCGCGGCTATAATATGGTTCAAGATGACACACGGGTTGATGACGTCAGTTACACGAATCGCTTGAACGCGTTGGTTTTAACCGCGGTTTTGTTGCAAGTTGTTTATTTTAGAAAAGCTCGTATATAATTTCTGATTATTTTTATTATCACTTAATAATCGGTGCTTGTTCGTCTACAACTGTATATGGAAAGTTTAAATAAGAAACCTTTCATAATACTCATGGGAGAAATGTTTTTTTCAGATTTTTTTTAATGATGGAACCATGGCTTTGTAGCTATGATAACTTTCAATTCTCTAAATTTTTCCGCATGTCAAAGAAAACATTTATTGATTCAGCAGAAATTATGAAAAAAGAAATTAGCAAAACCGTATACAGGTGGATATCATCTAGTGAGTTTATATGGCCATATTTTAATAATCTTGTGGTATATGGCTACACAGGATACTTTGTTAAGCATAGGAACTACATTTAAAGTGTCCCTTACAACCGTAATGAGTATAACTAATAAGGTGCTCCACTTTATGGTAAAACTGTATCATTTTTCTCAAAAATGAAGCTGAACTACAATAACAATATCCAAGACCCGGCAAAATTCTAACTTGTCACATTTCAAATAATAACCAGAAATATAAAACAACTCTTAAGTTGGGTAAATACCACAATTTTGCGGTGATAACTATGACATATAACAGCTGATTCGTGACGTCACGGATTATAACCAAACTGATAACTACACTCGCTTGAACGGATTGGTAAATACCAACCCAAAATGGTAAATACCATTTCCATTTGGTTATCCGCTTGAATTTGATTATATTCTTTCATAAACCGTCAACAGCGTTGCAGAGTCGATCTGCTTGACGACATTTTTTTAAAGTCTTCTAGATGAAACTGGAATTTCGGTTTATCTGAAAATATTCATTAACGGAAATTAAATCTAATGGCCGTTTAAATGAGTAAATGTGTTATTTTGTTTTTAAATTGGATGTATCGCTTAAGAGCGATTTAAACAGATTAAGATTTTTGTTGATATCTGAATTCAAATAGGTAATAACCATATGTATTAAAATTAGGCACATACAAAAAACATAAGCAACATGAAAAACAACTACTGATAACTGCAGATTTGGAAATCGAAGAAATAAACTGTTGTGCTTAAGAAATTACAGCTTCTTCTTTAGAGACATACGAAATTGATTATTACATTTTAAAAAGCATCTTGTCCTCCTTTCCTAAATATTAAGGCTTCCGCGTTTCCTAAATATTCTTTAATGGATTCAGGAAGTTAGAGATGTACCGATAATGCTTAAACTTCATTTTTTGTTGTTAAAAAAATGAGCGCTTTCAAATTTATAATTTACGCAACTAAAATTGTGCGAATTCAGCAACCAAACAAGAAATATTGAGTTTGTATCTAACAAACATAGTGTTGATCGTCTCGTCTCATATATTACCTTAATTACTTTTTCAATTATTTCATGATTTTATTACTATACAATGATTTATGTATACGCGATTAATACTCCGAAGAAATGTAAATTTCGCGTCACTATTTTGTGTTAATAATGGCCGTCACATATAAATATCTATTCATAACTATTCATCATAAGTTTGTGATTAATGGCATTATATTGTATAAGGCGACATTGAAAAATAAGGGTGCGTATGTAAATATAAAATATTTCGCATAAAAGCTACGTTTCATAAACATATCTAATGATGGTTTCCCTTTCAACACACTAATAATAGTTTCGTAGATGTTAATATATTATTATTTTTAATCGTTACTGTTATCGTCACTTTCGATTTGATCGACCTAGCGCCCAACATATCAACAAATTATGCTCAAAAACGACATAAACATATGAGATATTACAGTTTACAGATCGACGGTAATTATTGTCAAAAAGTCTATGTTTTTTCAGATTACATCTAGATGATAATTAATGGACATCATTTCATTTTCCAAAATCAGTTTCTTACATACTTATATCAACGTACATTTTTCAAAACGAGAGAAAGAAGTGAATTCAATTTGAGGATGAAATGATATTAATTCACTCAGGGGCGTACCCATCTCGAAACGTAAAGGAAGGCACCTTCGAAAAATTTTAGGTGGAAGTTTCACAGATCATACTTTTTTAACTATGCTTGATATTTTTCTTTCTATTTGCATTTCGTTGTTTTATTCATTTATATAGAGTTTTCCATCACTGTCTGACAATTCATATTGATATGAAAAACTACTAGAATTAGTTTTAACCAAATACGTCGTGATGAATTCAGTTTTAGAACAACATCTTTTCAAACCTTTTATTCCAAATACACTTCTGATCATTTTCCGAAGTTCAGCTTCTTCTAGCCATACTACCTACGACGGTCGTTCTTGACAATTTTAAGTGGTCAATTACATCTATTTTCCGAATTATTCAGAATTCAGAATACCTAATAGCGATATCAAATCTCACCGACGGCGATGTATGAACAGTGCATATAATAAAATAATGCAATAACAATTTACAATAATTAGGTTATTTGTAAAAAGCTTATGTTTTTATTATAATTAGTGCTTTCTGTACTACACATTTACACCCATTAACAAAGTCATATATAGTTTCTGGAAACGTTTACGAACATTATCGATTTTTCATAGTAAATGCAAATTTCATAAGCTACATTACTTTCGAAAAAATGTGCCGCTCTGATTCTACAAATATCTTAGCGAACTTATTACGAAATGCCCTTTCATTGCCCTAAAACATTGGGTAATTTATATTAAATTTTAGAAATGAAGGAAGATGGTAAGCCGATTCAACTGTAGGAGGAGAAATGGCGGATATTACTTGATCTGTATTTTGTGACACTAGAAAGAAGTTCTTTTCCAAGTTCTTTGGTACTTGTCAACTTTTCTAACCTCAACTTGGATGTTGACATGTCTCGGCGTCTTTTAAAAAATAGTTCTTCAAAAACTTGCTTATTTGAGAAAATGCTTTCATTCTAGCCACTGGTGCATGTTTTCTCACTAATTTTGTTCCAACTTTTATCAAAAAGTTTTATCTTTAGTCGATTGGAAGTTAATAAATAATTTTGGAATGTACTGGAGCAATTTTAGAGACGATCTGTTTTCAGAATCTCAAATACGATGATTTTATTATTCATTGCTATACTGATGATACAGTGCCTCGTCGCTGTACACTCTCAATCGTTGCTGAGTTTACCACTAAATTTAGAAAATGTAGCCAATAAAAATAGTACAGCAAAAACGGTTGATAAACACCCAATTATCCAACTAGATCTAACAAATAACAATTCAAAACGACAAGATAAAAATGTAAATATTACTCAATCTCCAAATGAAAGTTTAAACAAGAATACATTGTCAGAGGATAGAGTGCACTCTGAAGATCTTGAAGAATCAAGTGTTTTGAATAAATTTGTTATTGTTATTGTAGCACTGACAATAGTTTTCTTCATATTTTTAGCTGTTAGAACATTCAGGTAAATTTATAATAGTTAATAAATATTAGGCTTCTTGATCATTGTTGGTAGTTTGCAAGTAGCTGGTTCAATAATCCTCAACATTATTAGAGATATTTGCTTGCTTGTAATTTTAATTTGTATTTTTAAAATTTGAGCTTTTATTAATACTCTTTTTACTGTGAACATTTTTCAGGGCATCAAGGAATTCTATTGTTAAAAAATATGGAGTGAAAGCAAGACGCTGTGATGTTGAAATGGAACCATTGCCCCTCGATGATGAAGAAGATGAAACTATTTTTGAACTAGGCAACTTTGCTAGACATTAAGAACAAGTCAAATTTATTTGGAATTGAAAATATTGCCATTTATCTACTGATGTTTCTAGTCTTACCAGTTTAAAAGATAACACGACTTTTTTTCAAAATGTTCTACTTAAGTACATATGTAACTTTATCTTGTAAATATCAACTGCAATTAAATATTACACGATTATGCCTTATTTTAGACTATTACTGTACTAACTGCTGTATTGTTGCTCCACTAGAAAAGGATGTTGAAGACAAAAATCATTCAATTTATTATTTGAGCTCGATTGTTTTTATTACTCTGGATCTTATATGGTTGTATCACAAACTGCATTTTCTCAAATTAATATAAATCTTATGCATTATATTAAGAGTTTATGTGATCTTAAAGCTTGCTCATATAATAAGAGATCAACAAAATTACATGTAGATACTTAGGACTGAAATAAACAAGATATTTTTATAATTGTTATTTTTGTATATCAAAAATGTAAACATGTTTTTGTTGTATATCAAATTTATTAGTGATAATAAAAAAAATAACATGTAACTGTTGTTTGCTTTAAAAGCACACAATGTGTGTTTGATAAGAAAACACTATCTTCTTTGAGTAACAAAATAATTAGATTGATATAAATAGCAGTGTTAAAATGTCAAACTATTTTTTATATGTATCTGATAACTACAGTGAAAGCTCTCCTTGCGGACAGCTCCTATAAGCGGACATCTCTTTTAACCGGACAAAGTTCCTGGAACCGAATTTCAGCCATCAATTTTCAATGTTAAATGCATTCCGATAAACGGACGCTCTTATAAACGGACGCGGACACTAGATTTTCCTGTATGTGATCAAAAAATCTCCCATAAGCGGACGCGAAACTCTAATACCCGGACGATTTTTTAGTTCCGCTTATTGCAATGCACATATCTACATACATAAAATTCGGTAATTCCCCGATTTATATTAGGTGATTCCCCATTTACGCATTTCGTTGGGTAGCCTGTATGTAATCTTGTGGCTTGTCTTCAGTTCAGGCAAATTCGTAGTTGATTGAGTTACGTATTTTATTATTGTAACTGTAAAATGGCACCAAAAAAGAGGATGATCTCGTTAAAGGAAAAGATGGAAGTTGTTAACGTATTAGACAGAGAAAGTGTTTCAGTTCGTCATTTGGCAAAGAGGTTTAATATTAGGAAAACGCAAGCAGCTGAAATTGCCAAAAATAAGGAAGATATCAGGAGTAAATGGCAATCAGGAACTAATATAAATCAAAAGAAGGATTTTTTAAAAAAGGAAGGTTTTGCTATAGACAAAACATGTTTTGAGTGGTTTGTGAAAGCTAGAAGTCAGAACATTCCAATCTCAGAGCCGTTAGTGAAAATGAAAGCTAAAGAAATCGCCACTACTTTGGGCTATAATAATTTCAGTGCGTCCGACGGGTGGCTGCAAAAGTGGCGCAAGAGACATAGTGTGAGTTTCAAATGCATATCTGGCGAAGCTGCTGCAGTAGATCAAGTTGATGTGTCACAATTTTTGGAGAAACTTCCGTCCATGTTGCTTGGTTACAACCCAGAAGATGTGTACAACGCAGATGAGAGTGGACTTTTTTTTCGCGCATTGCCCGACAAAACTCTGTCCTTTAAAGGAGAAACATGTGTGGGTGGAAAGTAGTCTAAAGATAGACTAACCATTTTATTCTGTGCAAATATGGCCGGTGAAAAATGCGATTTGATTGTGATCGGGAAAGCGGCTCGTCCCCGTGCTTTAAAAAACGTTGCTATTAAGGATCTACCAGCGACTTGGAAATCCAACAAAAAGGCATGGATGACCCGAGAAATCATGTCTGAGTGGTTAGTCGAATTCGACCGGGAAATGAGAATCCAAAAAAGGCAAGTTCTTTTATTTTTAGACAATGCATGCTCTCATCCTCGTGATATGAAAATGAAAAATGTGAAAATTATATTTTTACCGCCAAACACAACTTCTGTTTGTCAGCCCATGGATCAAGGTGTCATACAGAACTTTAAATTTTATTATCGGCACTTGATTTTAAAACATATTTTAACAAAAATTGACGATGGTCAAAGCTTATCTGAGCTTACAAAGTCTATCAATGTGTTAGAAGCTTTGTATTTTATAAAAACAGCATGGAATAAAGTAAATTCCTCTACAATTAAAAACTGTTTTGGCAAAGCTGGATTCAGAAAAAGTGAATGTAGCTCAGAATTTGCTGAGCAAAATTATTGCGATGCTGAAGACGATCTGCCCTTAGCGACACTTGCTCAGTTACTGCAACATGCCAAACATTTAGGAGTAGCAGATCCCCAGAAAGTATTATGATTTCCTAGCCATAGACAATAACATAACAACAGAAGAAAATGCCATTGGCAACTTTTCGAATTTGGATGTAGAAAGCCCAGGCCAACTTGAATATGGTAGTCCAAACGACTCAGAAGAAGAAGTGGAACTGGTGGACTCACTAAGCGGTTCAAAAACGATAAATTCATATGGGGAAGCTCTAAATCATATTTCTATATTGAAAAAATTTGCTAAAGATGATTTCACTGCATTTCAACATTTGAAAAATTTAGAAAGTTATTACGAAAATTGTCTCCTTCAGCAAAAGATGGTGAAATTTCGTCAGACAAACATTTTAAACTTTTTTCAACAAGCTAAAGAATAATGTTTTTTTTAAATTCTCGTACCATGTATTGAAGCATTTATGTTTTTGTATGCGTATATGTACATATATTATATAGATATATAGCGTAAATACACACTTTAAAAGTGTGGCGAGTTTCTGTTTCATTTTTCTCATGATTATAATACCTCATTTCCTCATGATTATATACCCCGTTATTTATACTCTATACTTACATACTCTCTTTTAAACGGACACCTCCCATAAGCGGACAAAAGTTACGGAACCGTGAGTGTCCGCTTATGGGAGCTTTCACTGTAAATAGCAGTGTTAAAATGTCAAACTATTCATGTATAAATGCTGATTGTCAAGCTTGAGAGTCTTTCTGAGATACTTATTTAATATGCTGAAAAATCATTAATATAGATGGATGCAACATTTTTTATATGTATCTGATAACTATTTCAATTTAATGAGTATTAACATAAAAATTGAATGTGCATTGAATATATAACATGTGGTTCAAGCTATTTTAGTAGCTTGTAATACTTTTTTAACAACCTTTTGAACTCAAAATTCCTTAACTAGATCAAATACAGGAATAGAACCCCAGATTATCAGTACACAAATCTTATAATGGAATGAAGATGCATTTAAAGAGGCCTTTTCTCTTTTGGACCTTACTTTCTTTGATATGTCTGTCTTCAAATAGTCTACATAGAATGAAAACAGTAATAATAATAATTAGAATAGTTTATTAAACCGGTACTAACATATTAAAACTCTACTTCAACTTTTTAATGAAGGGGATAAGTTTGTGCCTAAGACTGAATGTTTATATCTTAATTTTTCTATTTCATCAGGATGTATAAGTTTTTCTTCTTGCAACAATCGTTCTCGTCTCTGCTCCTCAATAGATTCTGTAGGAAAAATAGATAATTATAGTGTCAGAATAAAAATATAGATATACATAACGGTATATCAGATATCGAACAAATTTTGTGTGAAGTTAGGAAAGCTAAATTTGAGAAACTTTTGGCATCTGCTCTTAAGATTTTAAAGTAGACCAAAACAACTATTAGATAACAAAAATATATTTAACGAGTTGATAAGATTGTGAAATTGTATTCAAAATGAAATATATAATGACGAAAATAATTATTACTCACTATTATAAGGTGTATATTTGTCTGAGAGCCAATTTTCCAAATTGTATCCAATGAATCCAACTAGACCGGCAAACGGTAACGTGATATAAGGCGCATATGTCCTCAGAGCTGTGTAAAAAACAGGCCACATTGAGGAGATTTCGGAGTAACAATCAAAGTACAAAAATATTACAACTTCAAATCACCTATATCCCATTTTTCTAGTTGTTTTTAGTGTTTGACCTTTTTTCAGTTTAAAACCGACCTTATTTTGACAGTCCTATGACGTAAAGCATAAAGCAAAACAGAGCACAGATCACAGAACAGTCAAACTGAAGAGATGCTCATGGAACACAGAAGGCTAGCGATGTTGCCGGCTTCAAAAACATTATGTAGATCCACCAATATCATCGTAGAACTAGACTACTCGCATACTTTTTTTTGTTGAACTCACTATAAATCGAATCCAAGCGAATAACCAAAATTTCTGTGTTATGTACCGCGGTTATAATCTAGTTCAAGATAACACACGGATTGATGACGTCAGTTACTCGAATCGCTTGAACGCGTTGGTTTTAACCGCGGTTTTGTTGTAAGTTGTTTATTTTAATTAATTTTAATGATAAAACCATGGCTTTGTAGCTATGATAACTTTCAATTCTCTAAACTTTTCCGCATGTCAAAGAAAACATTTAATGATTTAGCAGATATGATAGGAAAAAGCGTTGAAAAAAAGATATTAGTAAAACCGCATACAGGTGGACATCATCCAGTGAGTTTATATGGCCATATTTTAATATTCTTGTGGTATATGGCTACACAGGATACTTTGTTAAGCATAGGAACTAGATTTAAAGTGTCCCCAACAACAGTAATGATTATAACTAATAACGTGCTCTACTTTGAGCTAAAACTGAAGTCAGCCAGTATCAAGTTTCCCAAAAATGAAGCTGAAGTACAACAAAAACATCCAATACCCGGCAAAATTCTAACTTGTCACATTTCAAATAATAACCAGAATTATAAAACTACTCCTGAGTTGGGTAAATACCGCAATTTTGCGGTGATAACTATGACATATAACATGATTCATGACGTCACGGATTTTATAACCAAACTGATAACCACCGCTTGAACGGATCGGTAAATACCAATCCAAAATGGTAAATACCATTTTCATTTGGTTATTCGCTTGAATTTGATTATTATGATGTTGCGAAATTAGGTTATTTCACTGATTAGTGATTATTCTATATTTATATCTGCTTGCTGAAAATGACCTTATTACGTTAATTGGATCCACACTCTTTTCAGATACTGCAGACGAGCTTTTTGTGTGTGTTTTTTTTAAATGTGATTGCCTAATTTTGTCTCTCTGCAACTATCTTTGAAACTGTCAATGTGACAATTTCCCTGTACGTGCGATATGAGCTTCGTAATAAATTATACTCATTTTATATGTCATCGATGAAATAACCTCCAAAAACGGTGTAAAGAACTATGCCTTCATAATTTTCAGTGGCATTCAGCTTTCTGCCTGCCACAGGTGAATAATATTGCACTGGCAACACCGGCACCCAATAATAGAGATGGGTTCGTCGTTGTTACGATCCCGTTCTTTCGCATTCCGATAGTACCTTTCAATTTATTTTAAAAGCCAATATATACATACAAGAAGTATTTATTTTTTATTTTCCTAGAATATTTTTTGGTAGGTATTTTGTTATACATTTTCTTGAGGTCTGCCAAAAACTTATTAATTATAAAAAATATAAAACAGCTACCTTGGAAGGTTTTTTGGATGTATCATAATCCAAAGCTTTAAGTTCTCCATCTCGTATTTTGACCGCTCTCGTATCGCTCTTAGCTCTTGCATAAGGAAATGTAGTACATTTTTAACTATCGAACTATAGTAAGTTCGTTTTATTTGAGTCACTTCCAGCCCATCACTAAAATTTGCCTATGATGTTTTGGGAAATTCTTTTCATTCAAGTTCTTTTTACATAAAAATCTGACATTGCAAATTACTAATGTTTGGGTGTTTTTGCATTAACTGTGTATGAGAGACAATATGTTTTTATTGTATGCCAATTTGTGCCGCAATAGTAAATTCTATGCAATTCAAGAGTAGTAGCATACAGTCTACTTTTGTTATGGTTTTGATCAACTGACAGTAGTGATGGCGTCTGATGTTGATGCTTCTTGTGAAAATGACCCGAACTTTGCTGTTATTTGCGCATTTTTCGAAAAATTTGGTGAAAACTGTGCACTGGGACCGATAGATTTCGCCGAACTACAGTCTATGCTGGAAAACACTGATGAAGGTAGCTAATGCACCCTCCATTTTAGTGCTATCAAATGTTTAATTGCCGTACTTCTTGATCGTATTTCAAACAAATATATTCAACTTGGTATAACATTTTACTGCATAAATTGACGTTTGAAGCATTCGCTCAGGTGAATAGGTATAACTGTGTTGATGAATTTTTAAACCTGTGCTGAAAAAAAATATTTTTGTTTACCTTGAAGGAGTGTAGTTTCATTTACCACATTTGTGCAAATCACGATAAATGTTCCCCTCTGTACATTATAGCTTGAACTACAACCATCTATTTATCTAGTATCGAGTTTTTATACACTATTAAATATTAAGCAATTATGACACATATCCATTTTTCATAATAGAATTAGGACTGCACAAATGCACATTCAGGATATCTATAATGATTGTAAATAAATTAGTCCTACATTTCAACCAGGCTTACAGGCTGTTCCCTATAAACCCCATGTTAATCATTAAGTAAATATGTGTAAAAATGGCAACCCTGGCTCAGTACTGCCCATCTAGTACTCTGTCTGATTTGGTAAAACAAGGGATGCCAAGTAAACTGATATTATGATTGTTGCTGCTAATTGGGAAGTATCCTGCTAGTCTTACAATTGACACTCCCTTTGACAATTCTGCTATGCAATATTAGTAGCAACATACTGCATATAATTACGTAGCTAATAAAAGAGATCCATGGATACCTGCATTTAACTAAATTAAGATAATTATGCCTGTGATTATAGATTGGTGTATATACTATTACTCAAAATATATCCTACCTCTGTATGTGTTATCACAAAAATACAAATGCCCCAGATTTATCGATATTTACTCTAATAACTCTTGAATCTAAATAATGTATTAAACTGTTCAGGCACTACTGTTAACTTAAGTGTACTTACACTATTTACCATAATACTTAAGCTTATTCCAACATATTAGGACAATGGGTAGGCCTTGATTGTTAGCAGCTATACTGATTGATTCATTCTTATTATATATACCAAAACTTTCTTAACTACTTTATGTAAAACGACTTGCTCAGGCATTTTGGGAGTGCTAGAAAATATGAAGCAGTAAGTCTGCTACTTGATAATATGGTATATTTTAAATGTCACTAAATGGTCAGCTATTATGTAATGTGGAAAACAGAGTATCTTCCATTTACTGAAAATACTATTGACATGAAATAAAAGCCAATCAGTTGTTATTGATCTCTACTCTTTCATTGATACCTTTTAGCTAGATTACATTTAAATTTACTCATTTATTGTTTCATATTCTAATTATAACCACATATTAAAGAAATTAAGCAGCTCTTGTTATTATGTGAAATGGTTCAATTAGGTTTAACAATTCCAAGGCAATTCAAAGAATAGTTTTTGAATTTTGATGTTTGAATGTTAGGTATGTGGTTCTATCTGTAAGTACTCCATTCATATATCAAAATTTCTGCAGAACTTAAATTTTAAGTCGCTATATACTGTGTTAAATTATTTTTAAATGCTTGAACTCTCACAAATACTGGACTAAAATATTGGAGATATAGAAATGTAGTTGCAATAAGTAGAGAGGGGAGATCTACCTGTTTGGCTCTTCATGATGTATCATGAAGTTATTGATTTTTTTAATATAATTTAGAATGATCTTTTCCAAAAAGATGTAAAATTTCAATTTTTAAATTGGCTTGATAACTTATATGATTTTGTGTTTATTTTTTAATAGATGGAGCTAGGAGTTTACCTTTGTCCATAGTTCAAAACCTTGAGTTCTGGTATCATCCCATTATTATTTCGTATACTATTACACCCATGTGCCAAATTCACCATGAGAAAACTGTTCCAAAACCATCCCAGAACTGGTAGAACCTAAATACAGAATCATTCTGTTATGATAACAAAAAACATTGAAAAACTTTCTCACACAAGTGCATTATCATTCCAGAATGTTTTTTCAATAGGTTGGAACAAAATTCATAGTAGTCTCTAATAGGGTGGGGCAGTAGGCACTTGAAATGTTTTACAGACTGCAGACTAGGGATGATGGCAAGCTCCATCTAAGAGGTTTTCGAAGATCATAAGAAGGATAATACAAAAAAAGGACACCCTCCTCCATATCAATATTGTCATAAACTGAAAACACATATGAATTTTGTACTATTTCTGTAGTTCAATTATAGGAAATAAGATTTGTACAAGTATTTGGTTGTACCAGAGCACCTCAGTAAATTATAACATTGGCTTTCCTTGTGTCTAACAACAATTTTTACTTTATTCCAGTACCACCAGCATTAGCAAACCTTCTAATCAAGCTTATGAGAAAAGTGAAAAAGACTGTTAAACCTGAGAAGTGGGAGAAAGCTTTGGTTGGAATTTGCCATAATTTTAGCTCTAAAGATGCATGGGAAATTGAAAGATTTGGCTTTAAGAAAGCCAAATTATCATCTAAAGTCAGAGCACTTAAGGTAAACAAACATAATTTAGTTAACTAACAATTAATCACTGTAGCCCATAATATAAGGTAATATGAAATATCAAGTAGACACTGTATTCGCACTAAACTGAAGGTTACATGCATAAATCTATATGAACATTTTTTGTGAATTTATTACCCTAGCATACTTAAAAAATGATTATTCTATCCTAACCAAATGTAGAATAGCAAGTCGTAGAGAATGATGTGTAGAATTGTAAACGTTCAGCAAGACTATCATGAAAAATAACAAATATAGCACAGAATAAATGTAGAATAACAGTAGTTTTGAGAGACTGATGAAGTTTCAATGAACTTATTTCAGGAACTACTAGAGATGCAGTTTGACTTTAATGCCAAATTTAAAGGAGAAGTCAACAAATTGGCAGCTACTGAACTAAGGTCACAACCTCTAGGCCGTGATAAATCTGGACATGCATATTGGTTCCACAGTGATCACAACTTTCAAATACGCGTATATAAAGAAGATTTGGACGATGAAACATGGACCCTAATTGCCAAGTATGTTGATCAAATATTTATATTCTCATAACATTCCTTTTATGTTATATGTTCTGTTTAAAAGGTTGTAAGTTTCATAATATGAAAAAAATGGTACTTATTTAGTTTTTATATCCATATGGTGATTGTTTTAATAACTTTTATAATCATATGTAACACTCTTCTTATACTTTTCGTTTAACAACTGTTTCAGAGATAGAGAAAGCCTAGTTTCTCTCATCACTAAACTCAATGATGGGGAAGTGAAATGCAGCTCTGATTCTGCTGTGAATGAAGACAGTAACTCACTGTCAGAAAAACTTATCATCGATACTGGACAAAATGATTCAGATTCAGCAACAAAAGATAAAATTACCGAAGATGATGTGGAGCAAAGCCCAAAGAAGATGAAACTTGAAAATGACATGCAAGAAGACAAGGTTCTGAAAATACATTTAACAGATATCAAAAAAAGTCCCAAGAGGCAAGAGTGTGATAAGTCTGAAGAAACTAACGAGAATGAGAAAGTGATAGATGAAAATAAAGAGAAAGAGGATGAAACTGAAGACACTGAAAAAGAAGAAATTGATGAAGATGAATCAAAAGATAATGAAAAAGAGGAAACTGAAGAAGATGATGAAGCAGCAGAGAAGAGTCCTATTGTAGGAGACACAATTGAAGAAGATACTATGCACATCAGAGGAGAAGGTAATGGGAAAGAGAATGATGCAGGCATTCATAGACCAGCTACTGAATCAAGCGAAAGCCCAATTATTGGGGAAGTTATTGAAGAAGAAATTATGTATGTTCGAGGTGAAGGTCTTGGGCAGGAGTGTGAGACAGGCAATGATAAAAAAACATCTGTGACTGAAACTCAGTCGGGCGGGTATGCCCGTAGTCACAACTCCAGTTCTACTGAGAATAGTATTAAAGATGATGAGGTTAAAAAAGGCGAAAATGTTTCTAAAGAACCTTCAGATGAAATAGACAGTTGCGCTAAGACGCCGGAAAAAAAGCCTACCTTTTTCTTTGGTTCTCCTCAAAAAGAAACCTCTGTTAATACATCTCTCACTATGGAGTTTGGTCAGAAACCCGACCAAGCAGCAAAATCCCCAAGTAACACGAAAGAGCCATCTCATGACAGTTTGGAAGAGAAGAATAAAAATGGTGAAGATATCAAAAATGAATCAACAAAAGTTGTCGATGATAATCAAAATAAAAATGTGAGTAAAAACGGTGATGAAAATCCGAAAGAGGATGACGCATCAGATGAAGATTCTTCAGAGAAACGCCCAGTGGTAGAAGAGCCATGTGTAAAAAAACTTGCGTATGTATGTGGAGAAGACACAGCTGAGGAAGATGCAGAAACAGTAACCGAAAACGAAGTAGAAAAAGATGTAAAAAGTAAAAGTAACAAACTGAAAAACTCTGAATTAGATGTTGATAATGAGGTAAAATCAAAAGAAGCTAGTTCTAAAGATGTAGGAGAGATCAAAACAAGTGGAAATAAACCAGATGATGTTGAAAGTGAAACTGAGACTAATAGTAAGATAGAAAATGATAAAGGCAAACCAAAAGGCATTAAAAATAAAACAGAAATTAAAGAAAGTGAAAACGAAAGTAAATCAGGTGATACGAAAGATAAACCAGAGGAAGCTGAAAGTAAAACAAAAAGTGATAAAAGCGATTCGAAAAACGACTCGCAAAAATCTGACAAAGATAAAGAGAAATCGGAGGAACCAAGTAAACCAGAAAAACCTAGTGCAAAACCAGGGCTTAGAGCAGTGAGGATGAAAAGGGGACCAACACAAAACAAGTCCAAAGAAGAAACACCAGCGAAAGATGAGAAAGTTGCTGACACTGAAGTTGTATTTCTGAAAAGTAGAAGAGGGAAGAAAGAAAGGGAGGCAACTCCACCTACAAAAGTTAAGGTGAAGAAGCCAAAGCTGTCTGCTAAAGAGAAAAACAAGAAGGAAGATAAGGTTGACAGTGACAATGCCTCAGTAACGTCAGGGGACAAGGCAGGAAAAGGAGGTAAGTAAACCAATGGGATTTGATTTCTGAAAATCAGAAATGTTTATTTTTTAAGGGAGCATGGCTAGTGCAAGTTCTTCAAGAGTTTCAACGCCAGTGTCAATGCCAGATTCTATTATAACTATACCTGAAATCACTGAGGTTACCAGTGTAGAGGAAGAGCCACCTGTACCAGAAAAGGATCCTTTAGGATGTTCAGAGGATGATCAAGGTAAGATATTCGTGAATAGTGAAGAATTATATTTATTTCTTACCCCAATAAGTGCGAAAGAACATAGAAAAAATTGCAAAACGTATTTTGAGCGATTTTTCTCTTTTTCGTTTTGGGCCTTTTTCTCGTCCACCACATGATCGATTTTCAAAAACTACAATCTTTTTCGTCCTTGGCATAGTGGTTAGTATCCTTGTGTGAAAATTTTCTGAAATCCGACGGGTACTTCCCAAGTTATAGGTGGGCCAATGATTAGCGGACAGAGGCAGACAGAACGAGTAACATGGTTTAACTGTAACTTTATTTCACAATTGTTCAGGTATTTCAATATGGTCTCCTTCGAAGTACTCCCCCTGAGACAATCTACACAGCGCCGTTTCCACTGTAGATATACAGGGTTATCCAAATTAAGGGTCCACCATTAGTAACTTTGTTATTAGTGAAAATACAAAGTTGTTTGAATTAGCAAACTAGTAGCATTTTTAACGCTGGTAAAAATGAGAAATAAAAAAAAACAATTGAGAGTCGTTATTTTGATTTTTTTCAGTAAAATAACATTTTTTTAAATGGAAACCCCTGTATATTATATTTTTTTCTGTTAAAGCATCAAATTTTAAACAAAAAAGCTTACAGTAACTTTTCTCCTAGGTTACAAATTGTTGAAGTTATGGCCTCCAATCTGAAACAATTAAATTGTATCGACAAACTTTATTTTCAACATCAACTTATAATCTTACAAAATACAATAACAATTTTTTTTAAAGAAGATGCTCGAAAACACCACCTTGTTTTTCAATACATTTTTGGGCACGTTTTTCAACTGCTCGAACTGTCTTAAGTATGGTCCTACCATCTATCTGGGTTATCTTTTCCCTAACTGCAGTCTTTAACGCGTCAAGGTTATCGTACCTTCGCTTGTAAATTTGGTTCTTTAAGTAACCCCACAAGAAGTAATCAAGTGGGTTTAGATCTGGTGATCTGGGAGGCCACTGTATTGGGCCATTTGTTCCTATCCACTGATCATTAAAAGTAGTACTTAGAAAATGATAAGTACCTCTAGAGTTGTGGGCAGGTGCGCCATCTTGCTGAAAATGCAGATGATGTCTACTTATAAGATCCAATTCGTCTAAGAAATTAGTCAGAATTTCTGACATAAATTCCACATATCTTTCACCAGTTAGGGTTCCCTCATAAAAGAACGGGCCAACAATTTTTGAACCAATTATACCGCACCAAACGTTGAAACTGAAACGGACTTGTGGGCCTCTTGGATGTACTAACAAAAGATTTTCTCTTGACCAATAATGGTGGTTTTTTCTATTAAACATTCCAGAATTTGAAAAATTTGATTCATCTGTCCATAAAAGGTAACGAAAGTTATTTACATTTTGGCGACAGAAGCCAAGATACCAATGGCAAAAAACAAGTCTTCTCTCTGGATCCCCTGCCAAAAGCGTTTGAACCGGTCGGTACTTATACGGAATAAATTTGTATTTTTTTAAAATCCTTTGAACAGTACCATAACTGAAATTAGAGTCCTTGAGAATATCTGCTATTGAATTCTCACGATAAGCTTCAAAATATCCAATAAGTGCAATTTCCGTGGCCTCGCTTATTATGAATTCTTTTTTTGCCCTTGTTTTAGCAAAAACATTTTCGTTGCCCCTAAATTTTCGATAAAGTCTCAGAAAATATCGTTCATACGGTTGAATGCGAGCGGGATATAATTCACTGTAGTATTCTCTTGCTCTCAAGGAGGATTTTCTGCACACTAAATAGCATTCTAACATATCACACTTTTCTTCATGGGAGAACATTTTTCTTTAAATTAATGACACAATAAAGCTTATAAACAAGTATTTACGCTAATGTTTGACATTATTTGATTTTATCATTGTTTTCCAAAGCCTTCTAGTTGCGAGTATGTCCAGTTTAACAATTTGGCGCTTATCTTAATGCTGTCAAATCGCGAACGCCATGTTGTTTTCATAGCCGTCTTAATATTATAATACTGCAAATAATTAAAAATATTTATCGTTATTTTGACTTTATTTTTGACTTTAGCGGAAAAGTCATTATGAACTTTTTTGTTTAAAATTTGATGCTTTAACAGAAAAAAATATAATATACAGGGGTTTCCATTTAAAAAAATGTTATTTTACTGAAAAAAATCAAAATAACGACTCTCAATTGTTTTTTTTTATTTCTCATTTTTACCAGCGTTAAAAATGCTACTAGTTTGCTAATTCAAACAACTTTGTATTTTCACTAATAACAAAGTTACTAATGGTGGACACTTAATTTGGATAACCCTGTAGATACGATCGCTGAAAGTCTTCAATTGCGAGGCTGTTCATTTGCCGTGTCGTGTCTGCCTTCATGGATTCCACATCCCCCAAGTGCCGTCCTCGAAGCACCATTTTGCATTTTGGGAACTGGAATAAGTCGCAAGGGCCTAAATCGGGTGAATAAGGCTTCTGTCACGGTGATTGAGCTTCGGGCGAAAAACTCACGCACAGCGAGAGACATGTGAACAGGCGGATTGTCGAGATGAAGGATCCACCTGTCCCTTGTGCCAAATCCGGTCGAACTCCGGCCGCACGAGCTCTGAGGCAACGCAAAAAACTTCAATGTAGAAATGTACGTTCACTGTCTGGCCGGGAAACAATCAACATTATTTTCGCATTGATTTTTTCATCTTTTTTGTTCTCGGTTCCCCTGCTTGCTTACACTCCACGCTTTGAGATTTCAGCTCCACATTGAACCACGATTCGTCTCCAGTGATGATCCGGTTGAGAAAGTCCCCCCTTTCCTCTGCTTCCAACCAATCCTCACAGCAAGCAACGATATTCGCGCACATTTTTTCCATGTCAAGTTTCCCTGAGAGCTCAATGTGGAGGAGCGTCCTGAGCGTTGGTCAACTTTCACATCTTCTCGGCCTTCTCGAAACGTTTTCTCCACTTGTTGACGGTTCGTTCCTTCATAGAATTGTCACCGTAAACTTGTTCCAAACACTCAAAGATCTCACGACCATTCTTGCCTAGCTACGGCAGGTAACAAAGAGTTACTTTCAACAAGCACACGTAAATAGTGAGGGAACCACCGGGCCATCCCTCCACAACGCCTTGACACGACGCCCCGAATTTTTTATTCGTATTTTCCGGACAAACCTCGTACATGTCATATAACATCCAGTAGGCGTCGGGAGTAGAAGATAAACCTAGTGGCAAAGAGTTGACGAAACTTTTCTACTGTTTACAGATGATGATGCTGAGACAGCCCCGACTCCCAATTCGCGCAGCCTGCAGAACTTCTCTTTCGACTTCGACGACACAGGGGCAGCACCTGTAATTCCTGTCATTCCCAGCACCAGGTCGTTACGGAAACGAGGCAGGGAAGCCAGCCCTACCGGTCCTGTGGTGGATAAGCAGCAGGGTGGGAAAAAGATGAAGTTGAAAGGGAAGAGGCGATTCAACACCAAGTTGAGGAAAAGCATTGAACAGCAGAAACAACAGCTGCAACAGGTATAAGATGGAATCTGATTTATAAAAATAGTTGCATGGTGTTAAATATTACTGGTATATTGAATAGACACTAAACTTTTTAAAATTTGAACACTGTTTCTTCTGATTTTGTAGTTATGATAATGACTATTTAATTTTGTGAAGTTTTGTAAATGTGGCGGTAATAAATGATTTTTTAATTTGAGTATGAAAATCAAAATTAAATAACATACATTGTTTTACATTCAACCACTGTACTTCTTCAAACATAGACCTAATCTTAGCATATTTGTTTTTATTTAAAATGATTCTAATAGCGTTATTTTGTAGAATTTGTAATTTTGAAAATATGTTTTCATTTGCTGTAAACAAAGTGCTCAAACAAAATAAAAGATGGGGAAGAATTATAGTGTTAGACACATTTTTTTGCAGACATACTGAGATTATGGGAAACTATAGAAGCAATTTATCTTTTTTAATATACAGTGAAAGCACTCCTTGCGGACAGCTCCTATAAGCGGACATCTCTTTTAACCGGACAAAGTTCCTGAAACCGAATTTCAGCCATCAATTTTCAATGTTAAATGCATTCCGATAAACGGACGCTCTTATAAACGGACGCGGACACTAGATTTTCCTGTATGTGATCAAAAAATCTCCCATAAGCGGACGCGAAACTCTAATACCCGGACGATTTTTTAGTTCCGCTTATTGCAATGCACATATCTACATACATAAAATTCGGTAATTCCCCGATTTATATTAGGTGATTCCCCATTTACGCATTTCGTTGGGTAGCCTGTATGTAATCTTGTGGCTTGTCTTCAGTTCAGGCAAATTCGTAGTTGATTGAGTTACGTATTTTATTATTGTAACTGTAAAATGGCACCAAAAAAAAAGGATGCTCTCGTTAAAGGAAAAGATAGAAGTTGTTAACGTATTAGACAGAGAAAGTGTTTCAGTTCGTCATTTGGCAAAGAGGTTTAATATTGGGAAAACGCAAGCAGCTGAAATTGCCAAAAATAAGGAAGATATCAGGAGTAAATGGCAATCAGGAACTAATATAAATCAAAAGAAGGATTTTTTAAAAAAGGAAGGTTTTGCTATAGAAAAAACATGTTTTGAGTGGTTTGTGAAAGCTAGAAGTCAGAACATTCCAATCTCAGGGCCGTTAGTGAAAATGAAAGCTAAAGAAATCGCCACTACTTTGGGCTATAATAATTTCAGTGCGTCCGACGGGTGGCTGCAAAAGTGGCGCAAGAGACATAGTGTGAGTTTCAAATGCATATCTGGCGAAGCTGCTGCAGTAGATCAAGTTGATGTGTCACAATTTTTGGAGAAACTTCCGTCCATGTTGCTTGGCTACAAACCAGAAGATGTGTACAACGCAGATGAGAGTGGACTTTTTTTTCGCGCATTGCCCGACAAAACTCTGTCCTTTAAAGGAGAAACATGTGTGGGTGGAAAGTTGTCTAAAGATAGACTAACCATTTTATTCTGTGCAAATATGGCCGGTGAAAAATGCGATTTGATTGTGATCGGGAAAGCGGCTCGTCCCCGTGCTTTAAAAAACGTTGCTATTAAGGATCTACCAGCGACTTGGAAATCCAACAAAAAGGCATGGATGACCCGAGAAATCATGTCTGAGTGGTTAGTCGAATTCGACCGGAAAATGAGAATCCAAAAAAGGCAAGTTCTTTTATTTTTAGACAATGCATGCTCTCATCCTCGTGATATGAAAATGAAAAATGTGAAAATTATATTTTTACCGCCAAACACAACTTCTGTTTGTCAGCCCATGGATCAAGGTGTCATACAGAACTTTAAATTTTATTATCGGCACTTGATTTTAAAACATATTTTAACAAAAATTGACGATGGTCAAAGCTTATCTGAGCTTACAAAGTCTATCAATGTGTTAGAAGCTTTGTATTTTATAAAAACAGCATGGAATAAAGTAAATTCCTCTACAATTAAAAACTGTTTTGACAAAGCTGGATTCAGAAAAAGTGAATGTAGCTCAGAATTTGCTGAGCAAAATTATTGCGATGCTGAAGACGATCTGCCCTTAGCGACACTTGCTCAGTTACTGCGACATGCCAAACATTTAGGAGTAGCAGATCCCCAGAAAGTAGATGATTTCCTGGCCATATACAATAACATAACAACAGAAGAAAATGCCATTGGCAACTTTTCGAATTTGGATGTAGAAAGCCCAGGCCAACTTGAATATGGTAGTCCAAACGACTCAGAAGAAGAAGTGGAACTGGTGGACTCACTAAGCGGTTCAAAAACGATAAATTCATATGGGGAAGCACTAAATCATATTTCTATATTGAAAAAATTTGCTAAAGATGATTTCACTGCATTTCAACATTTGAAAAATTTAGAAAGTTATTACGAAAATTGTCTCCTTCAGCAAAAGATGGTGAAATTTCGTCAGACAAACATTTTAAACTTTTTTCAACAAGCTAAAGAATAATGTTTTTTTTAAATTCTCGTACCATGTATTGAAGCATTTATGTTTTTGTATGCGTATATGTACATATATAGATATATAGCATAAATACATACTTTAAAAATGTGGCGAGTTTCTGTTTCATTTTTCTCATGATTATAATACCTCATTTCCTCATGATTATATACCCCGTTATTTATACTCTATACTTACATACTCTCTTTTAAACGGACACCTCCCATAAGCCGACAAAAGTTACGGAACCGTGAGTGTCCGCTTATGGGAGCTTTCACTGTATTTGAAATAATGTATCCATAATGCTCTTGAAACAGTAGTTTACTATCCACAGATATACCCAGATATTTGAATGATACTACTTCATTTTTCATCGTCAATAATGAGCCTAATTGAATTGTGACCCTGTTGTTTGTTGTTTAAGATTTATTTAGCATGATTGCTACAATTACATTCTTCTAAAAAACTAAACAGTTACATAACATATAGACATTAAAAAAAAATCAAAATTTGCATCACTAAGAATTTTCATTGTCCATGAAATATTCCTTTAATTTTCTTTTAAATATCTTTAAATTACAAGTAGACTTTATATCATTATTTAGTTTATTAAATTCAAGTAATCCTTTTTGAAATATTGATTTGCTAGTTATATTACTATAGCAAATTTGTAAATGAAAACCTATATTTCCTCTTGTAAAGGGTGTTTTTTTTAGAGGTATAGAACTTCAAATTGCAATAAAACAACGATGAAATATTCGATTGACATGAATTTTTTTATTCAAAAGAAAATCTTGTGGCATCACATTTTGAATATGATTTATGGCATATGACTGCCACGACTGTCACGGATGTAGTCCAATCTGGACGTCCAATTCTCGATGACTTTTTCCAACATTTGTGGCCGTATATCGGCAATAACATGGCGAATGTTGTCTTCCAAATGGTCAAGCGTTTGTGGCTTATCCCCATAGACCAATGGCTTTACATAGCTCCACAGAAAATAGTCTAGCGGTGTTAAATCTTGGAGGCGGATTCACAGGTCCAAAACGTGGAACTAGGCGGTCACCAAACGTGTCTTTCAATAAATCGATTGTAGCACGAGCTGTGTGACATGTTGCGCCGTCTTGTTGGAACCACAGCTCCTGGACATCATGATTGTTCAATTCAGGAATAAAAAAGTTAGTAATCATGGCTCTATACCGATCACCATTGAATGTAACGTTCTGGCCATCATCGTGTTTGAAGAAGTACGGACCAATGATTCCACCAGCCCATAAAGCGTGTTTCGATATAGACTTGAGGATTAGCTTCACTCCAAATGCGGCAGTTTTGTTGGTTGACGTAGCTATTCAACCAGAAGTGCGCTTCATCGCTAAAGAAAATTCGCTTATGAAAATCGGGAACAACGGCAATCTCGTTTTGGGCCCATTCAACGAATCTACGGCTTGCTCGATGATCGTTTGGCTTCAATTCTTGCACGAGTTGGATTTTGTAAGCACGCAAACCAAGATCCTTCCTCAAAATCTTCCATAAAGTAGATGGACACAGATCCAATTCCTGTGCTCGATGGCGGATGGACTCATTTGGGTCTTCCTCAATGCGACTCTCTACAGTAGCAATAGCTTCTTCTGTACGCACCGTACGGCATCTCTGGGGATGCGAGTTATCAATTAGAGTAAACGTAGTGCGAACACGTTCCATGGTTAATGGAATTAACTGCTCTGATGGAAGATTTTGTCGACGATACGTATTCCGCACAGAACCATTATTTTCGAAATAAAACTGCACAATTTGCAAGTGTTGTTCAGGCGTGAGTCTATTCATGATGAATTGCCAAACTGTCAACTGAGAATAAATCACTTGACAGCTATCAAATCGGTCGTCAAAAGTAATGCCAACTTAAAGTTCTATACCTCGAAAAAAAAAACACTTTTTATAATAATTGTGGTAATGATTATTCAACTCTATGTAGTGTTCTAAATGTTCTGGCAAAAGATGATTTTTTATTTTCAATATAAAAATAAGAACCAAATATGATATGAAATTTTTTATATTCAACCACTGCAAGTCGTAACATAGATTTTATTTTGGTGTACTTGTTTTTATTCAATATTATTCTCATAGCTTTATTTTGCAAGTCTTGTAATTTTGAGAATACTGCTTCATTGGCAGTGAACAAGATAGTTGAACAATATAGTAAATGCGGTAGAATAATTGTGTTATAAACTATTTTCTTGGATTAGGTACCAAGACTATGAGAAGCCCTATAAAAGTAATTTGTTTTTTTTTGTTATTTTTGAAATAATGTATTCATAGTGATCCTCAAACTTTAGTTTATTATCAATATACAGGGTGTCCGCAAAGTTGGGGTTTTCCTTTACACGACGTGTAGATCTTGAAAACATAAGCAATTTCTCTTAGTTCCATATACATCAATGTCTTAAGGGAACCGAGATAAAGGGCTCTGCAACATCAAAAATATCTGAATACCGTCCTGTAGCCGCGACATCACGGAGTGGTACAATGTCACTGGCTCAACACGACGACAGAACTGGGTTGGGGTCAGTGTGTCAGGTCAGTATGCAACCTTCAACCGACGGTTACGGTCACGCGTGTAGAGGTAATCGCGTAGACGAGAATCCCTCAACAAGCACTATAGACGTGGCTAGAGAAGTGCAAGTATCAAAAACTAAAGTGTGGCAAACGCTGCGTGAAGAGGGGCTGTAGCCGTTTCACATCCAACGTGTACAAGCCCTTCAACCTGACGATTTTCCAGCAAGAGTGCGGTTTTGTGAGTGGTTGTTGCATCAACATGACAATAATCCGGACTTTTTGAAGTGCATATTGGTGACAGACGAATCTACATTCACGCGTAATGGGGTGAATAACTTTCGCAACACTCATGTTTGGTCAGTAGAAAATCCGCACGCTGTCCGTCGGGCACATTTTCAACAAACATTTTCGGTGAATTTTTGGGCTGGCATGGTGCGTCTGCTCGGTAGTTCATCAGCTGATTTCATTTTCTGTTGGAGCGGTATGATTTCGGGCAGAGACGAACTTAGCTCTTCTCGTCAACTGGAGAGTGAGTACTTTTTCCTTTATTGTTTTTTAACTTGGTCGCCCTCGTTTCACTACACATTACCTTTGTTATTTCAAGGATAGTTGTTTTTGAAAAGGAAAACCTCAACTTTGCGGACACCCTGTATATACTTAAATATTTTGTTTTCAAAAAATACTCCATGCAGTGGTGTTTAAAAGTAAACATCTTTATGAAGTTATTTAGAAGTCATGAGCATTTTAAAATTCCCAAAGTCACCCAAAACCACCATGTACCTAAATATTGTCAAATCTTCGTCAAATGATCAGGACCCTCTGTAATGTTAAAAAACGAAGTTTGAGAGATTTTTTTGCCCCCAGATCATAGCAATATCATTTTTCAGATTATTGTTAGTTAAATCATCAAATAGGATTTTTATTTTCAGTCGAGCAGCAGCGATGAAGCGGTTGCTGTGTCGAGTGACGAAGCTCCGAAATTTCAAAAAGAGTCGCCAGTTAAGAAGAAAAGGGGCCGAAAAAAGAAATCTGAAGTTGCAGTTGAAGTTGATGATGATTCAAGTAACCATGCTCCGGTAACAAAGGCGAAAAAAGAAAAGAAGCCCAATGGTAAGAACATTTTGGTGCACATTGGTTTTGATTAAATGTAAATCGGAGTTGGTTCTGGTGTAACGGGTATGAATTTTATTGTTTCTTCGCAAGGGTGCAGTTAAATAATTAGGTGGAGTTCCTTTATTATTGCCGAAGAAATAAAATAAAGATGAATGGTAGTGAAAGTGCCGCCTTATTATTGCATTATAAACCGTAACTCTTAAAGTATTGACAGCTGTTTAGAAATTCCGAAAAAAAAACCTAAAGTTTCTGATGTCACTATTCGCTTTCAGCTCGAATGCTCGAAGGTTTGGGAATAAGCGACCCTGAGGCCGTACTGCAGAATCAATCGCTTGGTGTACGGCAGTCGAGGAGGCTGGCGCAAATCAAAATCAAGGAATCTTTAGACGTGAAAAAGCCTGAACCCAAAACCAAGCAATCAGCAAAAGAGGAGAAATCCAAGAAAAAATCAAAAGAGGTAAGCTTCTCTCGATTCCTACAGGATTAGGGAAAATAGCGAAACCACTGTTGCATCTAAATAATAGGGTTACTCGCTATAAGAAATGAAAAAAGAACGATTTCATTTGGTTTAATTGGAGTCCGATCCTGTATTTGCAGCATCTGACAACAAATTAATCGCTCTTATAAAAATCAAGGTTTTAGTAGTGTTCTACTGGTTATAAAAATACAGTCAGTGCGCCAAGAAGAACGTAACAACAGATTGGTATCGTGAGTACCCTTTGGGCCACTTTCTGATAATAGTTCTGCGTTAAAACCCAATAACATCATAAACATACTGGTAAATTAATCAAACTCCTGGCCGCATACCTTTCCATTTGGGGACAGGACCGTATCTAGAAGAATGTCATATCGTCTTCACCCAGAGCTAACTAGAAACATTTAATATGATTACTCAAAATATGACAAGTAACCCTACCACATCACAAAACCCTACGCCCAAGTCATACTCAAAAGTTGTCTCCCAACACAGCGAAAAACATCCTAACAAAGAACAAGCAATAGTTTTCAGCACTATAGAGGGAGCTAAACTACAAGACTATCTTCTGAAATTAGGTCCACTGGTAGAGCCCAAAAACATTATATTTTGCTCAAGGATCTCGAACAACAGAATATGTGTTTACCTCTCAAGTAAAAGTTTGGTTGACCAGTTCATACAACAGCATGGAGAATTAACCGTAAATGGAGAAATAATAAAAGTTCGTCGCCTAGTTACCCCCTCTGATAGACTGGTAATATCGAACGTTTGTCCGACCATCCCGCATGCAGTTCTAAACGACGCGCTGCAAAAATTGCATTTAAAGCTTTTATCTCCAATTTCATTCCTCAGAATTGGAGCCACTCTAGCGGAGTACAGTCACATTTTGAGTTTTAGGAGGCAAGTTTACATAGCACCTTCAGAGAATACGGATATCCCAGAATCCATAGAGATAACGCACAACGATCTGACCTATCGTATATTTCTTACTTTAGACAGTCAAAAGTGCTACAAATGTAAACTTATTGGACATATTGCTGCACAGTGTCCATCGATCCAGATTTCGCAGACTTCCACAGAATCAGAGACCCTCAACGATGAACTGTCAAACCCATCCGAAAATCAAGTAGTATCAGATATAACTACAGAAGATTCCACCACAGCCCACATACATCTGCCCAAAGAAAATACCAAAGCAATTACGAACGAAAACAGCCACCAACATCCTCAAAACACTAACATAAACATCATTAGCCTGCACGGCGAAGAAACACCGAATAATGACGAATTAATAACTCCAAGCATATCCTCCAAAAGGAGCTTCTCAGAAATACTAACACCAACGGAAGACACAGGTGCACCTCAAAGCTATCAAGTAACATTCACCAAACCGACTGCAGATAACATCAAGAAACACAAACCTGATCAGGAATTAACAATACCCATAAAAAGCAGCCTTGAACCTATCAAAAATTTGATAGAGACTCAGCAGACGGTACTGAACATCGATCAGCTCACCAGTCTGTTGGAAAATGTACATGGAGCTAAGGATGCCATTAATGTAGTAAACAACTATACCTCAGATTTCAGAGCTCTTATAGAAATGCTTCTCCTAATTTACCCCCATTTGACAAACCGCACAATAAAGAACAGATGCACAAGATTAAGGAAAAAATTGGAACACCACATCGATCAAACGGTAGGATCACTGAGCGACACGTCATCCATAGATTCGACGTTTTAATAACAATAAAATTCACGTCAATTCTACAATGGAATTTAAATGGATATCTTATCCATTTGACCATGCTTCGAAAGTTATTAACTGATCACAAACCAGATATCATTTGCCTACAGGAAACTCACTTTAGTGACAATAAAACACACACGCCTAAGCAGTACATAGGTTATTTCAAAAATAGGAATACGGGAACAGCAAGTGGGGGAGTGGCTATATATACGAAGTCGTATATGCAATCTAGTCAAATCAATCTCGTTACTAATTTAGAAGCTGTAGCAGTTACCATAGAAGATGGAGAGAAGGTCAATATCTGCAATGTATATATCCCACCTAACTACTTTTTGGATAAGAAAGAACTGGAAGACTTGATACAACAAGTTCCCGCTCCTCGCATAATTATTGGAGACTTTAACGCACATGATTATACGTGGGGATCCTTCAAATATGACCAACGAGGAAACATAGTAAGAGGCATCCTGGACTCAAGCCACCTAGCCTTGCTGAACGACGGTAACTGTACTAGATTCGACGCCGCATCAGGAAGACTCTCCGCAATCGATTTGAGCCTATGCACCCCCAGCCTGCTAACTCACCTACATTGGAGTACAGAAGATGACTTATATGGAAGCGATCATTTCCCAATACTTATATCAAACAATAAAAACAACAAAAACACTGAATCAACGCCTCCTCAAAAGTGGAGATTAAAGCAAGCTAATTGGCATTCATTCTCACACTATATAGATAGTAACCTTGACCGCAATATAAAATCTAATGTCAGCATAGACTCTATAGTGGAACAGTTCAACAAGACTATAACTGATGCCGCACAACATATCCTAGGTAAAACCACCCACGTAAAAAATAGAAATCCTGTGCCTTGGTGGAACAACGAATGCGAATCTGCACTCAAAGAGAGTAAACAAGCGGTCAATAAGCACAAAAGACACAAAAATATCAATACATTAAGGAACCTTCGGAACAAACAGGCCAAATTAAGACTAATAACTAGAAAAAACCAAAAACAATCGTGGCAGAATTACGTCAGTAGCATTACTTGTAACACACCAATGCCCAAAGTATGGAAAAAGGTGAGAAGCATTTCTGGAACTAAGACATACTCACCAATAAGATGTCTAAAAGACGGTGAAAACACTGTCACTGAAAGTCATCAAATATCAGAAATATTATCCAAGAAATATTACTCCAACTACAGCAATGGAAACTACTGTTCAGACTTTACGAACTACAAACTAAATGCAGAATCAGTGATAATCCCCATAGAAGATAACAGCGATCCAATCAACCTACCCATCACAGAATTAGAGTTCTTGGATGCACTCAACGACCTGAAAGATACTGCTGCAGGACCAGATGACATTCCGCCTATTTTCCTAAAGAAACTTCCCCCGTCTGCTCATAACCGCTTATTACACATATTCAACACCATCTGGACAACGAACGTTTTCCCCAAAATATGGGGACAAGCAATAACAGTTCCTATCCTGAAGTCTAATAAATCACCCCAGCTACCAGAATCGTACAGGCCTATATCACTAACCTGCTGTATGTGCAAGCTTCTTGAGAAAATAATTAACCGCAGGCTTATGTGGAGTCTCGAACATAAAAACCTATTAGCCTACCAACAAGCTGGTTTCAGATCAAATAGATCTACTATAGATAATATAGTAGACTTAGAAACCCACATCCATGAAGCATTCTCGGACAATCAACATTGTATGGCAATTTACTTTGATATCAACAAAGCGTTTGATACAGCCTGGAAATACAACATCATTTCTAAACTCCACAAATGGGGATACAATGGAAACATTCTATCCTTCATTTCCAACTTCCTCGCCAACAGATGTTTCCAAGTACGAACAAATGGTGTACTGTCGGAACAAAAACAACAGATCAACGGAATACCTCAAGGCTCTATTATTAGTCCAACTCTATTTCTTATAGCACTTAACGACGTTCTAAGAGATATCGAACTACCTCTTCAGGCCCGTCTATACGCGGACGATATGATCGTATTTGTGAGGGGAAAGAACTTGACAACAAATGCATCGCTACTACAACATTACCTGAATAAGCTGGAATACTGGTCTAAGCAGACAGGATTTACCTTTTCAACAGAGAAAACAACTTGCATCATTTTCTCGAAGAAGCCTGTGCGTGACAAGCCCACTTTAAAGTTGTGCAATAAGATTCTAAAGTACACCAGCGACATCAAATTCTTGGGAATCACATTTGATAATCGACTTAATTGGAAGAAACATATAACAGATGTCATTCAGTCTTGTCAAGCAGGGATCAACATGCTAAAGTACCTATCAAACAGACACTGGGGGGCTGAAAGTAAGACACTGCTTACTATATATAGAGCACTTGTAAGATCCAAGATTGACTATGGCTGCATCGCGTACAACTCAGCAAGACCTTCAGTTCTCAAACCTTTAAACGTGCTTCACAACACTGCGCTGCGATTAATATTAGGAGCATACAGAACCACACCGGTAGACAGTCTGTACTGTGAATCGGGAGAAGCACCATTACACATAAGACGTCAGATAATGAGCCTCACATATTTTAATAAGAAAATCGCAAATATCAATACATCAGCCCATAAATATTTAGCCACTACAGGGTCCTATAGGAATAGCATAACAGGCACTCCTTTTCACAACAGAATCAGAGTCTACTTAAGAAGTCTCGACATCCAGAACGTACCGTCAACACTTACTACTGTCACCGATACCATCCCGCCTTGGATTATATGTCAACCAGTTACCAATACAACACTCACCAAGTTCAACAAAACCGAAACACCCAATGAAGTTATATACCAGAATTTCTGTAATATCATAAGCGACTATCCAGGGTCAAAACAATTATACACTGATGCTTCAAAAACAAAGCAAAGCGTAGGAGCAGCAGTCATCACTCCCACATCCACAATAAAACTGAAGCTCCCAGCAGCAGCATCCATATTGACGGGTGAGCTTTACGCAATCAGAGAAGCTGTCCAGTTTATCAAAAACAGTCCTTATCAGAGGTGGGTAATAATTACAGACTCCTTAAATTCAATCGAGTCCATAAACAAACTGAATCCCAAAAATCCACTGGTCAACCTAATCAAGGAGGAAATACACCGGAACTTACTTCTAAACAAGGAGATAACTCTATTATGGGTTCCCTCACATAAATCCATATTGGGCAACGAAATGGCGGACAG